ATATATCAGCTGGTGGTAAAAGGGTTTCGTGCACCCACATCACACAGCTCTCTGCACTCTTCTCTAACATGAACCCCCCCCCTACACACACAGTGTAATCATATATCAGCTGGTGGTAAAAGGGTCTCGTGCACCCACATCACACAGCTCTCTGCACTCTTCCCAAACATGACACCCCCCCCCCCCCTACCTCCTACACACAAGTGTAATCATATATCAGCTGGTGGTAAAAGGGTTTCGTGCACCCACATCACACAGCTCTCTGCACTCTTCTCTTACATGACGAACCCCCCCCCCCCCCCCCGACACCCTCCTACACACAAGTGTAATCATATATGAGCTGGTGGTAAAAGGGTCTCGTGCACCCACATCACACAGCTCTCTGCACTCTTCTCTAACATGAACCCCCCCCCCCCCCCTACACACAAGTGTAATCATGTATCAGCTGGTGGTAAAAGGGTCTCGTGCACCCACATCACACAGCTTTCTGAACTCTTCTCAAACATGACACCCCCCCCCCCCCACACCCTCCTACACACAAGTGTAATCATATATCAGCTGGTGGTAAAAGTGTTTCGTGCACCCACATCACACAGCTCTCTGCACTCTTCTCTAACATGAACCCCCCCCCCCCCCCTACAGTACACACAAGTGTAATCATATATCAGCTGGTGGTAAAAGGGTCGCGTGCACCCACATCACACAGCTTTCTGAACTCTTTTCAAAACATGACACCCCCCCCCCCACACACACAAGTGTAATCATATATCAGCTGGTGGTAAAAGGGTTTCGTGCACCCACATCACACAGCTTTCTGAACTCTTCTCAAACATGACACCCCCCCCCCCACCACCCTCCTACACACAAGTGTAACCATATATCAGCTGGTGGTAAAGGGGTTCGTGCACCCACATCACACAGCTCTCTGCACTCTTCTCTAACATGAACCCCCCCCCCCCCACACACAAGTGTAATCATATATCAGCTGGTGGTAAAAGGGTCTCGTGCACCCCATCACACAGCTCTCTGCACTCTTCCCAAACATGAACCCCCCCCCCCCCACCCTCCTACACACAAGTGTAATCATATATCAGCTGGTGGTAAAAGGGTTTCGTGCACCCACATCACACAGCTCTATGCACTTTTCTCTAACATGAACCCCCCCCCCCCCCCCTACACACACGTGTTTTCTATATCAGTAAAGTATGCTGGTGTAAAAGGGTCTCGGCACCCACATCCACAGCTCTCTGCACTCTTCTCTAACATGAACCCCCCCCCCTACACACACGTTGTAATCATATATCAGCTGTGGTAAAGGGTCTCGTGCACCCACATCACACAGCTCTCTGCACTCTTCTCTAACATGAACCCCCCCCCCCCCCTACACACAAGTGTAATCATATATCAGCTGGTGGTAAAAGGGTCTCGTTCACCCACATCACACAGCTCTCTGCACTCTTCCAAACATGACACCCCCCCCCCCCCCCTTTAACACAAGTGTAATCATATATCAGCTGGTGGTAAAAGGGTGTCGTGCATCCACATCACACAGCTCTCTGCACCTTTCTCATACATAACAACCCCTGCTACACACAAGTGTAATAACCATATCATGGTAAAAGGGTGTACATGCACCCACATCACACAGCTCTCTGCACTCTTCTCTAACATGAACCCCCCCCCCCCCCCCCCCCCCGCCTTAAACACAAGTGTAATCATATATCAGCTGGTGGTAAAAGGGTCTCGTGCACCCACATCACACAGCTCTCTACACTCTTCTCATACATGACAACACCCCCCCCCCCCCCACCCTCCTACACACAAGTGTAATGATATATCAGCTGGTGGTAAAAGGGTCTCGTGCACCCACATCACACAGCTTTCTGAACTCTTCTCAAACATGACACCACCCCCCCCACACCCTCCTACACACAAGGTAATCATATATTAGCTGGTGGTAAAAGGTCTCGTGCACCCATATCACACAGCTTTCTGAACTCTTCTCAAACATGACACCCCCCCCCACCCTCCTACACAAAAGTTTAATCATATATCAGCTGGTGGTAAAAAGGTTTCGTGCACCCACCCCATCACACAGCTCTCTGAACTCTTCCCATACATCACAACCCCCCCCCCCCCACACACAAGTGTAATCATATATCAGCTGGTGGTAAAAGGGTCTCATTCACCCACATCACACAGCTCTCTGCACTCTTCCCAAACATGACACCCCCCCCCCCCCCCTTAAACACAAGTGTAATCATATATCAGCTGGTGGTAAAAGGGTGTCGTGCATCCCCATCACACAGCTCTCTGCACCTTTCTCATACATAACAACCCCTGCTACACACAAGTGTAATAACCATATCATGGTAAAAGGGTGTACATGCACCCACATCACACAGCTCTCTGCACTCTTCTCTAACATGAACCCCCCCCCCCCCCCCCCGCCTTAAACACAAGTGTAATCATATATCAGCTGGTGGTAAAAGGGTCTCGTGCACCCACATCACACAGCTCTCTACACTCTTCTCATACATGACACACACACCCCCCCCCCCCCCCCCCACCCTCCTACACACAAGTGTAATGATATATCAGCTGGTGGTAAAAGGGTCTCGTGCACCCACATCACACAGCTTTCTGAACTCTTCTCAAACATGACCACCCCCCCCCCCCACACCCTCCTACACACAAGTGTAATCATATATTAGCTGGTGGTAAAAGGGTCTCGTGCACCCATATCACACAGCTTTCTGAACTCTTCTCAAACATGACCCCCCCCCCCCCCACACCCTCCTACACAAAAGTTTAATCATATATCAGCTGGTGGTAAAAAGGTTTCGTGCACCCACATCACACAGCTCTCTGCACTCTTCTCTAACATGAACCCCCCCCCCCCCCCTACACACAAGAGTAATCATATATCAGCTGGTGGTAAAAGGGTTTCGTGCACCCACATCACACAGCTCTCCGCACTCTTCCCAAACATGACACCCCCCCCCCCCCTTACACACAAGTGTAATCATATATCAGCTGGTGGTAAAAGGGTTTCGTGCACCCACATCACACAGCTCTCTGCACTCTTCTCTAACATGAACCCCCCCCCCCCCTTTCTATACACAAGTGTAATCATATATTAGCTGGTGGTAAAAGGGTCTCGTGCACCCACATCACACAGCTTTCTTAACTCTTCTCAAACATGACACCCCCCCCCCACCCCCCCCCCCCACACCTTCCTACACACAAGTGTAATCATAAATCAGCTGGTGGTAAAAGGGTCTCGTACACCCACATCACACAGCTCTCTGCACCTTTCTCATACATAACAACCCCTGCTACACACAAGTGTAATCATATATCAGCTGGTGGTAAAAGGGTTTCGTGCACCCACATCAACAGCTCTCTGCACTCTTCTCTAACATGAACCCCCCCCCCCCCTCCCACACACAAGTGTAATCATATATCAGCTGGTGGTAAAAGGGTTTCGTGCACCCACATCACACAGCTCTCTGAACTCTTCCCATACATGACAACCCCCCCCCCCCCCCTACACACAAGTGTAATCATATATCAGCTGGTGGTAAAAGGGTTTCGTGCACCCACATCACACAGCTCTCTGAACTCTTCCATACATGACAACCCCCCCCCCCCCCCCCCCCCCTACACACAAGTGTAATCATATATCAGCTGGTGGTAAAAGGGTCTCGTGCACCCACATCACACAGCTCTCTGCACTCTTCCCAAACATGACACCCCCCCCCCCCCCCCCCTTAAACACAAGTGTAATCATATATCAGCTGGTGGTAAAAGGGTGTCGTGCATCCACATCACACAGCTCTCTGCACCTTTCTCATACATAACAACCCCTGCTACACACAAGTGTAATAAATATCAGCTGGTGGTAAAGGGTGTACATGCACCCACATCACACAGCTCTATGCACTCTTCTCTAACATGAACCCCCCCCCCCCGCCTTAAATACAAGTGTAATCATATATCAGCTGGTGGTAAAAGGGTCTCATGCACCCACATCACACAGCTCTGTGAACTTTTCTGAAACATTACAACCCCACTCCCACTCCCCCACTCTACTCTCACAGCGCTCTTATCCTATCTGTCTTATATTCCACAACTGAGACCTTGCTTTGTTATCAAATGGAGGTGGTCTCAGTCTCTACTCTCATACCAGTCTTATCCTATCTGTCATATATTCTATAACTGAGACCTTGCTTCTCTATCAAATATAAATGGTCTCAGTCTCTACTCTTACACCAGTCTTACCCTATCTCTAGCATATTCTACAACTGAGGCCTGGCTTCTCAATCAAATAGGTACTTTAAAAAAAAAATATTTTGGGGTTATTTTCAGCGTTTTATTCTTTTTATGCCTTAGATCTACATTTTAGGGCATTTGGTTGATGTGCTTTATGTGCACAAAAAAAAAACGTATTAGATGAAGAAAAAATTGTACTACCGTAATTTGAGAAAAAAAATGATTAATCGTGGGAAAAACATTATGGGTTTGCAGCTCTGCAAACCCATGACCTTTGCATTGACAGTCGAGTTATGAGACCACTCTAATTATAGTGTAATCCTGTAAGTTTCATTTAGACTTCAAAGGCCCACTGTACTATTTGTAGCTTCTCGCTCCCTCTATATAGAAAACAATTCCTAATCGGTGACCATTGGTCCCCCATGATCCTCTTTTTCTCATGTCAATTGACAGCTGAGTTGAAGAGATAGCCACCTGTCAGTGACCTTCCTTGGTGGTCTAATCCCTCCTAGCCTAAGAGTACACACAGGCTTTAAGCCTTTTGTGAGTTTCTCCTTAAATCTGTATGAAGTACAACTTCTTGGTCATGGAAGCTAATGCGAGGAGCTTCAGGGACGGGCAGACCAGCTTACACCAGGTTTCAGCTGTCAGTGACCTTCCTGGGTGGTCTAATCCCTCCTAGCCAAACTAGTACAGACGGCCTTTAAAGTCCTATCAAACCATACCTCAGCAATCTTGTCCTGCAGTAATGTCTTGAGGAGAATGACCAGTACCCTGGCCAGGTATGCAAAGCCTTCCTTGCCACAAACAAGAGCTTTCATCAGAGAATCTATAGAGAAAATAAAATCAGATTGATTAGGGTAAAGATAACAAAGATAACATCTTTTGGAGTATTAAAGAGAAGGTTGAGTTCTGGGGAGAGGTGAACAAGAGTTTGTGAGCATTATTATTGTTATTATGCAAGTGTGGAAGAACATCAGATAAAATGTTCCCTGAAAAGCATGGCTCATTAAATGCCTTAATATTCTAAATATGGCATGTAACCGCAAACAGATTTTTATGCCACATGGTCGTGTAGTCCCATATACATATTTCTGTGTACAGTGCTTGTAGCTTACCAAGACTGGGCCAAATTTCTTGTATTTTAGATCTTTCAAGAACCTTGCAGTACACACCAGTACTATTTGCTAGATGATCAACCTTTTCTGATCTATCTATCGATCATCTTTCTTTCATACGTGACATCATTTAGTATCAGATGTGTGTTAAAACCATTAAATTTTTTTTTTTAAATATCAATTTCCACAGCTTCTAACAGTGATCTACTCAAGTACAATCAATATACAGTTCTGTGGCCAGTCATTAAAACTAGTGATGCATTGAATGTGTATCATATAGGCACTGGGTATGCAAAGTCTGCAAACATCATCAAATCATTTCCTTTCCTTTTATTTATTTATCAATCCATCAAATTATCAATCTATTTCTATACCTGCTGTTACTGGATAAGGATCGTTGGGCATCAGTAGTCCGTTGAAACAGTCAAGAAATTCCACCACCATTGCTACGTCTCCAAAAAGAGAGTTAGGTAGACCATCCGGCATTGGAACAGGTTTAGGGACCGGGAGAGGTAAGAGGTCCAAGTCTTGGTCCTCAAAACGCTGCGGGGGAGAGATATATATATAGAGAGAGAGAGAGATAGGAAGGGGGGGGGGAATGGAAAGATCGAGAGAGAGAGACAGAAAGAGAGAGAGAGAGAGAGAGGGGGATATAGACAGAAGGGGGGGGGGGGGAGAAAGAGAATGAGAGAGAGAGGGGGGACAAAGAGATATAGGGAGAGAGAGAGGGGGGACAAAGAGATAGAGGGAGAGAGAGAGAGAGGGGGGGGAGAGAACGAGATAGAGAGGGGGGGGGGACAAAGAGATAGAGGGAGAGGGAGAGAGAGAGAGGGGGGGGGGAGAGAGAATGAGATAGAGAGAGAGGGGGGACAAAGAGATAGAGGTAGAGAGAGGGGGAAAAGAGAGAGAGATATAGAGCAGGGGAGGGAGGGAAGAGATAGAGGGAGAAAGAGAGAGGGGGAGAGTAAAATTTTGATGACAATATTTTTTTGGTGGGTCCTCATTCAATTATTTGTATTTGTACGCGCTACGGTACTTATTGTTTTAGCGCTCCTAAATATTTGATATTATTAGAAATAGTAGTAGTAGTAGTACAGTGTACATCATAGTACATTACAATATCTTTATGTGCTTTAACCCTATTTTAACTGGGCTATTTCAGACCAGGTTTTTACTGGGGGGGGGGGGGGGGGTCAATTTGACCCCCCCCCCCCCCCCAAGATCTCGGCCGTTTCACCGCCGATCGCCGCGAAAATGTGCATGCATGCCAAGTGAAGTGTATAGAATACTATGGTAATTTCAAATTTTTTAAAATTCACTCATTTGCATATTTTAGCTAATTTATGCAAATAAGGTCATCAAATTCACATTTCTGCCCTAAATCATATATTATTCATGTTTACGTATTCTTTTTCACTACATATATTTATTAACCATTTGGAATAATAATACAACACAAAAATTGGAAGAGCCAGGTTATTCCTTATGTTATCTCTTGTTTTTATAATTTCTTATGTATTTCATTGTTTTTTTAACTTATGTATTTTATTGTTTTTGTTGTTTTATTTCATTTATAACTACAATTCAACTATTTTGACCCCAAAACAAACATCTAAACTTTAAACAAGACTGAATAACCAATGTTTTATCTATTTTTAGGAAAATGACTTTTACATACGTTTTGTACACAAATCATGAAAATGAGCGATTTTCGGGCTGACATGCAAAGACAAAAGGTCACGTGACCTTGTAACCGTAGGTCCGATTTTCGAAAAAATTGTTTTAAAAGATGCGTAAGACTCGAAAGTAAAAAGTCATGAAAGGAAAATTTTATATCTGCTGCTGTTTCGGAGTAGTCGCGAAATTTCTACAGGGGGGGGGGGGTCAAATTGACCCCCCCCCCCCCCCCCCAGTTAACATAGGGTTAAGAGCTTTTCAAATTACACACTGGCTTTAACACTGAAAAATACGATTTGTTACTGAGATCATTGCATAAGATTGGCTGTGAGAAAATAAATTCATAAATTAAATACAGTCAAACCTGCTTTAGTGACCACCTGTCTGCAAATACCACATTTTTTGTTTCCTTGAAAATGGTTTGTCATTGAAACATGTACTAAAGGAACCTGTTCATAAAGACCACCTGCCTATAAAGACCATTTTTCTTGTCTCCCCTGGGTGGTCTTTGTAGACAGGTTTCACTGTATATTAAAGACCATCAATATTTCTGGGCCAGAAGGGATTAGACCACACAGCGAGGTCACTAACAGGTGGCTATCGCATTAACTCAGCTCTCAACTAGCATAAAAAATAGAAAATCATGGGGGACCAACAGGCACCGATTGGGGAAGTTTTCTATATAGAAAGAGCAAGTAGCTACAAGTAGGACAGTGGGGCTTTAAATAAAACCATAAATTTGTGTCACTCAGTACTTGAAAGAAATTTTCATGACACATGGCCGAAGACCTTACTAATTTTTACCTTTGCTTTTTCCATCTTAAGCTTCCTCTCCTCTCCCATCTTCTTTTCTCGCTCCTCCGATCTCTTCTTCTTTCTCTCCTCTTTCTTGGCATCCAGCTCCTTCTTACGTTCTTCTGGAGTCATTTGCTTCCTGCATTTAGAACGATATAGTGCTTATCAGTCATATCATAGTATAGCGCTTATTAATAAGTTTCTACATTGCTTATTACTACGTTTTTTAGCGCTTTACATTGTAAGTATCATTTGCTTCCTGCATTGATAATGATAATAATAATATTAGTCATATTTGTTTAGTGCTTATTACTACGTTTCTACATTGTAATTGTAATTGCCCGGTCATTGCATTCAATTGCTAATTCGCACGAGTGAACACAATCTGCTCTATGGGAAGTATTCCGGCCAGGGGTCATTTCACAGGTGCACACGTGCCAATCAAAACACATTAACGCTCGCATCCTACCGGGTATCCATTCAACACCTGGGTGGAGAATAGCAAATGTAGATTAATGTCTTGCCAATGAACATTATTGCCATGACGGGACTTCATGTAAATTCATTAATATCTTTTATTTAGGACAAGCTAAAAGGGCTTGGACCTAAAGACACGGTCCTGGTCCTGGGCTGACTTACCATCTGGTCCTAGCCTGGCCTTCAGAGAACTTCTGCCACACGTCATCTTTGATCTCTGGTCTAAGGTTCTTGCATTCTTTCTCTGAGAGGATCTTAGCTGCTTTCCGCAGTAGCTTCCCATAGGCTACCTTCTCGTTCAGTTTCTTAGCCCTCAGTAACCTGGAATGCAGTAAAAGAGAAAAATATTGAGTTATTTGGGCACATAGAAAAAGTATGTGGATTTGTACTATCCTTCATTTCCAGATTTTAGGTTCTGCAACTCTTTCTCTGATAAAGTCTTTGCTGCTCGGTGTTTGCCAAGTTGCCTACTTCACAAAGGACTATGTTGAACATTTTTAAAGAGAAGGTTGGGTTCTGGGATAAGGTGAAAAACAATTTGTGAGCGTTATCATTGTATTACGCAAGTGGAGAAGAACATCAGATAAAAAATGTTTCCTGAAAAGCTTGGCTCTTCAAATGCCTTAATATTCTAAATATGGCATGTAACATGATAAAAATTGGGACAGATTTTTCTGCCACATGTTTGTATAGTCCCATATACATCTTTATGTGTACAGTGCTCGTAACTTAACCAAGACTGGGCCAATTTCTTATCATTTTGATGATTCCAGAACCTTGCAGTACACACAAACACGTATATGCTAGATGATCAACTTTTTCTGATGAATTCCACAACATTTCTTTCACAATGCAATCGCATGACCAGAACTCAACATGAGCTTTAAATGCAAAAGGTTCTTACTTTGATATAATAGGTGGCTGCCTTGGGCTTGGTAGAGCCTGGGAGAGCCGATATTGGATATGGGAGTTATCTTTGTCATAGATGGGTTTCCTCTTCCCTGCCTGGCTCTTGGTGATGTCAAACAGTGTGGCTTGCTTCAGTTGCTTCTAAAATGATAAAAAACAGAGGGAAAGTTAAAGGTATAGACCAGTTTTGGAAACGCCCCCATCTCAAAAAATGAAATGGAAGCTCATATTACTTATCATGTGATAGAATATGTTTTGACGAATATGTGATTGTACAAATTGTGCCGGGAAACCGCCTACTAATTGATATATTTGGTAAATTATCAAATTGATCCGGCTGGATAGATAGAATGATTCACAATAAATTTGAACATTTGGGCATATATTTCTGCTTTTTTGCAAATTTAGATTGAAGTATTACCATCTAAACCTCTGAAGGCAATATTTAAACAATATTGAATGGATATTTTGCACCCAAAACCCTTCAACCGCAATTTAACCACTACGGTCTTTACCTTTAACATAATTTCCAGCATTTCATGAAAACTGTATACCCTGAATTAACTCCCAAGTTTTCTGATTTTGTTTTGTTTTAGTTTTTCGTGATGAAGATTAAATATTTAAGATCACAAAGTGAGGCATTTTACAAACTAAAAGCCAAATGAAATGGGAATTTATTTCATATGAAATTAAAAAAATAACAATTTGTCAATTTTTTTTTTTTTCCTCCAAACTGTCACAAGTCTTAGGCCAACCACCAGGGAAATGTGCTGCAGAATAAACCTGGAGGTGTTTCACAAAGATCCTACATGTAAGTCGAACTTAACTCTAAGTTGGACTTAAAAATTATGGAGAGCCATTTGTAGACTTATAAAAAATATATTCAAAGGCGAAATTTTGACCATTTTTGACTTTTTAGTAATTCCACATCAAAAACATAAAATCTCCTTGATAATAGAAAATATAAATGATTTGAATCAACATTTTATACCTTTTAAAAAAACTATTACAAAATATTTTCATAGATGCTAACGTCCAACTTGGAGATAAGTTCAAGTTAGGGTCTTTGTGAAACATCCCCCAGGGCCCCATCTTAAAAAGATCTGATATCAATCACAAATTATTTGAGATTGATATCACTGTAGATAAGAGATAGGAGACTGCAAACTTGCGATTGATTAGAGGACCACAACTCATTATATAAGACAGGCACAGTTTACCAAATCTATTTTGATTCACACCCTTGGTTCCAACTCTTTGAACCACCTCCTATGCAAAATGGCATCTCTATAGGTGGAATATTCACAGTTGTTGCTATGTCAGTAAAGCATCTGGCAAACCCTTTAGTCGTCAAGAAAGATACTTTGTTTCATAAAGCATATACATACAATCAGTAAACAGGGCAGCATTTCACGATACCGTCCTAAGTACAAGTTGGCCGACAACCAATTGAAATGCATGTATTACATTTAATATTTTTTCCAAATTGAGGTGAACTTGTACTTGTACGTGTTTTGGGAAACCAGTCCGGGTACTCAACCGTCTCTTCAATAGTTCATACCTTGCTTGATGCTGTGGGAGATTTGGCAGCTTTGGTAGGTGAGGTAGTCTTCTTAACAGGAGTTTTCTTGGCTGATGGGGCTTTGGATGCAGTCTTAGCAGGTGCCTTCTTGGGAGTAGCCTGGTAAAAGAGTCAAGGGCAAAGAGAACACATGCTTATTCTTGAGCTCTGGTATGGGAGTGCCAGAGTATAAGATAGTAAGAGTTTCTTGTTTGATCTAGATGTCTGATGTTTAAGTTCAGTTTATTTCACATCCAATAAAAAACTTACAGCAATATAACATTCAAATACAATAATATAACATGCAATATATATAAAATATGATGAGAACAAACAACAACAACAACAGTAATAATTAATGGGTGGAGTAGGAATGTGAGGGACAAGAAAAGGCCATTGGTCTATCTAGGTTGGTCCCCTTTTTCTACAACCCCCATAAGTAAAATATTGACAATATAGATATTACATTAACTGAGACACACATACACACATACAGGACAGGCAGAAATAATAAAAGCTAAAAAATGTGGTTAATAATAGTAATATTGACTGCCTAATTCAGGGCAATACGACTTGTCATATATCATCCTCACCTTTGGTTCAGGCAGTACATGTTGTATTGCCCTGAAGGCAGTCAATATTCATTAATTATTGCAATCTATAAGCTTTCTTTTGATATTCACTCATTTCTTTTTTCATTTCTGGGGAGTGTTTCACAAAGACTAGGATTGACTTTAAATTGGACTTAACTATGGCAGGCCATGAATGCAACAACTTTCTCTCACCATTTACTGGCATTGGTCTCTCAAGGGACGTACAAATCATAGTCACAAATCTACATTTTTTGAAAATTCATTATTGAATGAAAAACATATTTTCTAAAGATAATGGTGAGAGCAACCAGTGGCATGAATGGCCTGCCATAGTTAAGTCCAAAATAAAGTCGATCTTAGTCTTGAAAAACGCCCCGCTAATGTTATTACTGGAAATCATCAAACATAGAACATAACTATAGATGATTTACACAGACAGTGTGCCAATGACAAAAGAATAGTTTCAAAGATACCATACACTGACCTTTGACCCAGCCTTCTTGGGTTTGACTGCTAAGGACAAGGTCTTCTTTGCAGGAGTCTTCTTCTTCTTCTGGAGTGCCTTTGCCGCCGGTTTCTGTGGTGTCTTCTTTGGTGTTTTCTTGGGCGTGGCTCCAGTTTTCTTGGGCGTCGCTGCAGTCTTTTTGGGTGTGGTGGCTGCTTTCTTGGGTGTGGCAGGCTTGCTGGCGCCCTTCTTCACGGGGCTGGTCTTCCGCGGGGTCGCTTTCTTAGGGGTCGCTTTCTTTGGGGTTTCTTTTTTAGGCGTGGTCATTGCCTTTTTAGGTGTGGCGGTTTGCTTTTTAGGTGTGGCGGTTTGCTTTTTAGGTGTGGCTGTTTGCTTTTTGGGTGTTGCCGTTTGTTTTTTGGGTGTGGTGCTCACTTTGACCCCCTCCTTTGATGACACGGTGCTTAGTTTCTTAGCAACAACTTTAACTTTAATGGGTTTTCCCGCAGGCTTCTTTTTCGGCGCTGCTTTTTTCTTCTCCACCAACATCGCTTTCTTCTTTGGACTTTCTTTTGGATCATCTTTCTGTGGAGTCTTCTGGGTGTCTGGCTTAACAGCCTTTACAGGACTAGCACTTTTTTTTGTTGGAGTTTTCTTTTCAGGTTCTTCTCTTGATTCTTTCTTTACTTGTTTCTCTTCAGTTAAGTCACTTTTTTGCATCGGTTTGAAATGATCGGTTAACTTTCGTTTTGCCGGAGTTCTTTTCTCAGACTTCTTGGGTGACTTTGTCGGAGAAGCCTTTTTATTAGAGTTTGATGTTGATTTTTTGGTTGCAGACGCTGGCGTTGGACGGAGAAACTAATTTGGTTGGATCATCACCGTCATCAGTGCCATCACGTGACTTGCGTTTAGTCCTTCCACTGTTCAATTTCTGTTTTTTCTCCTTCGCATCCGATGGGGATTTCCTTCATCTGAATGTTTCCTCTTCTTTGTCTTCTGCTCTCCATCCTTCTCCTCCTTTTTCCTCTCCTTCCTCTCTTTCCTCTCCTTCTTATCCTCCTTCCCTTTCCTTGAAATATCCTTCACTTTCTTATCCTTCTTCTTGTCCTTTTCCTTTTTATCCGGCGATGAAAACCGCCTTTTTGGGTGATTTGCTCGACGATCGCTTCGTCGATGCATTTTGTTTGTGGGGTGGAGAACTGTACGAGTGATCCAGGAAGATTTTCTCTGGGGAAGGGGTGAACTGCAGGGGCGTGATTACGACGGTGGGGTTCTGCCCCTCTCTGCTATTTGACCTCTGTTTCTTGGAGGAGCTCTCGGATTGCTGGTTAGCCGACTCGCGTTTGACGGCAAGTTTCAGACCTGTCGCAGATATCTGTGAAGGCAAAGTATAAAGTAATTTGTTAAAAACGGGTAGGATTTCATACATCCCTGAATGAATATGAATACAATGTAGAAACAATGATGAATAGCCTTTACTACCACGCAAGACTTCTGCAATTTTTGTGGCAGCATAATATCTATGTATAAGCCTAAGGTGAAATTGTAGATCAATGTTTTCACTTTATAATTGTATCATAAGATATATAAAATGGGTTCAAGAATGTAGGTGTCTAATAGATCAAATTACACCATATGACTATGCATCTTTCTTTCCTACCATGCCTACTTGATTAATATCAATTTACATTATTAATCTTATCAGAAGCAAAATTGTTTAATCATTGTATGACATAAAAGTATTTGCTTCTGATCTTCCTCACATGTGACTAATATGATGGTTAATTTTAATTACACATTTATTAATAAATTATGTTGACCTTATCTTTAAATTTTGTTTTATGTATGCACCAGCCAATGTGGAGAGCCTCTAGACAGAATTTTTAAATTCTTTTAGGTGATCCTCAGGCATTGGCTGGTGCTAAATATCATTATGTTAATGTTATATAATTTTGTCAACCGTGTGATGTTTTGTATGTTATCATCTTGCCTGGAAATAAAATAAATTAAAAATAAAAAAAATAAAATAAAAAGGAGTAATATTATTATTATCGTAATCGGCATTCACATTCGCGTGCATCTGTCAAATATAAACATACCCTTGTTGGAGAAAGGAGAGACGGAATAAGTCGACCTGAGAGGGCGTGCTTCTTCACCAGATCTTCATGTACGATCCACGGACTGGTCGGTTTGTTGCCCGCTTGCAGAGCACTGCTTCGTATATAGAGTTCTATGATTTCTCTGGATGGTATTGCAGTGCAGCGTCTTTTATGCAAGAAAAAGAAACATTTTATGTCACAATAACTATATGTAATAATATTTGTTGGTTTGTTTCAAGTTCAAGTTCAATTTATTTCTCCACAAATGCAAAACATAGGGAGCTACATAAAATAAAATACATACATACAATACAATAATAGAACATGTACATTATATATAAAACGACTCCAGTTGGAGCAATGTACATGTATGTTTTAAAAAGAAAAAAAAAAAATCATTGATGGTTTGTATGATGGTTTGTTTAATAAAGCATGTGTATGCTTACATGGAAGTAAGCACGAGACTGACCATTTAATGACCTCTCCGCAGGACTTGGTAATGAGTATTAATGCCTTTATTAACTGTTTTATTTTTCCAAATCATTATTTTTTTTACATCAAATACAATTACAAATACAGTTCATGTACAGTAACAAAATAGATAAGGAAAAAAAGTTGAAGCTTGTGGGTTGAAAAGTTCTCTCAGTACATCATCATAATCACACTGTGTACATAAAATAAAAATAAGAAAAATATTCTAAGGTTACACTTACACTGGGCTTGCATAAGATCGGAACAAGGACAACTTTTTTGCAATCAGCAAAATTCTCTACGGAAATGTTTTGTGAAAATGTGTACCAGGTTAAAGGAATGGGGGTGGACTCACGTAAGGTCGGAACCAGGCACAAAGCTAATGATCTTATCTTCGTTCTCTAGCTGAATGTTGTACCTATATGATGAACTCTGTTGTGTTGAGGAGGAAGAAGAATAAAGGGAAGATAATAAAAAAGAAAATTAAAAAGGTATTAAAAAGTTTGGGTTTGTTACAGTATGTATTACAGCTAATGCTGTGTACTGTACATACCTTCCATGAGTAGTCTAAACTCGCCTTTACAAAGTAAATATCAGCTTTTAATAAAAACATGAGGTATTCAGAATAGAAGAAAAAAAAATGTCTGTCTTTAAAAAATTATTCGATCGGTATGGTATGAGAAAGAAATTACTCCAACTTGCCTTCAAATCTTGAGGGTGAGGTAAATTTAACATTATGATTCCTCATGGCGGTAGGCTAGGACACAAGGTATTACATAAGCTAAATCGGTCGTAAAAAAGAAGTCCTTTCTTGGTGACTGACAACACCTGTTATTGGGGTAACACCTGAATGGTGTCAAATTCCCCATGAAAACCCTACAAATATAAGCCCATACCTAAGATGGCATTTCATATAGAGGCAACGTACCTGGCTTTTCTTCTTGGTCTTAGACGACAGTCCCTCGTCCGACAGGTTCCCGTGGTTCTCCTTGTCACTAGAGGGCGACCCACTCACGCTTGCAACCTGAAATGATCAAGGATTATTAATCTATATGAGTAAGGCGTTCAGGTTCAGTGGATAAGTTTCTGGACTGTGAACCACAAAGTTGCAGCACTAACGTCCTGAGGCAAGACATGAATGTACAATTGCCACACTCCATCCTGGGGGGTGTTTCACAAAGATCCTAAGTAGAACTTATCTCTAAGTTGGACTTAAAAATTATGGAAAGCCGTTAGCATCTTTGAAAATATTTTGTAAAAGTTATTTTGAAAGGCATAAAATGTTGATTCAAATCATTCATATTTTCTATCATCAAGGAGATTTCATGTTCTGGATTTGGAATTTATAAAAAAGTATAAAATACTTGAATTTCTGCTTTTGAATATATTTCATTTTAAGACTCCAATGGCTGTCCATAATTTTTAAGTCCAACTTAGAGTGAAGTTCAACTTAGGATCTTTGTGAAACACCCCCCAGGAATTAGTTCCTTGAAATGCTTGAGTGCTGTACGACAGCCGTGCTAAAGCCAGGGTAATGATAATGGAGTGCCAGGAGTGGCCATGTGCAAGACAGCTATACAAGACTCCACTATTATTATTAACCTGTTGACTACTGAATTGTATAAGTCCCATAGGCTTTTCACAGGGACCACCAGGTTCCCGTAAGCAAAGGGTTAAGGCAATTTCCTTTTAGTGAGGTCCATGTACAATAAATGAACATTCTTTCAAGTACAAAATCATGAGCCGCGCCTCTTCTCAAAATAGTTGATGTTTGATACTCTGATGAACTGTACCTTTTCTGAAAAAATTTATTCCACATTGTATTTGCACTACAAAAACATAGACTAATGAAATGAAATCTCAAGACTATTTTTAGCATAGATCTTAAACAGCTGAGGGATTATAACATAAACTTCATTTTTAATAGCAACCATTCCAAATTTTGTGGTTTGGTTTCACAGGTTTTTTTAATTTAGAGCTGTACAATATCTACCAGATGCGTGAGGAGAATGGACACACTGCATCCATTTGTTGCATGACCACATTGCGCTTGATGCTACAATTTTTTAAAGGAAAATAAGCGTTAAAATTTGTAAATTGGTAACATGTTGTAAGGTTCAAAGTCATATATTTCAATTTAAAAAAAATATGCCCCCCCCAAAAAAAAAGTTCTTTACCTAAGTTCCTACCATCTTATTTATTTTCAAGGTCTATTATATTATATTACAACAATGTAGCCGTAACAAAAAAATATTGTTGTTGGCAATTTGAAGAATACTACGTGATCAATTTAAATGACTCCTGTCCTGGATTGTTGATACTTTGTGATATAAGCTTCAACTTAATAGGAACAGTAACCCAAGGAACTATAGAGATGTGAAAGTTATATTTCTTGAAACGCAGCGCGCGTAACAGCTGCACTGCTAAAGCCAGGGTAATTATGCTGCATTATTGTAGAGCGCTTAGAGACTTCTGATAAAGTAAGTGTTAGGCGCTATATAAGCAAATATAATTATTATAGGAAGTCTTTACTGATTCCTGTTTTCAGGGGAAAATATTGTTAGATTTCTATGATGATTTATTATTCTGCAACATAAAAGCATCAATAGTGAAAATCTGGGACTCGTTTCATAAATTACAAAAAGGAGTGACAAATCTGCTGATAACCAATCAGAAGCAAGGATTTCAGTAGCTTATAACAAAACTGTCATTTGTCTGTCACTGATGAAAAGTTTGGTGAAATGGGGGCCCAGTTTTCTGTTGCCCGAAGAAAAGTAAAGAGGATGATATATCCTATATGACTTACCTCTGCTGAGCTGTCTAGTTCTACTTTCATGATTTTTCCCGTGAATCTGATAGAGAGATGAACACAAAAAAAAAAGGGCTAAGAATTAATAATGAACTGTAGGGCGAGGATGATTTCACAAGAGCCACTTTGTTGAAGAAAAAAGAGGAAGAAAAGAACACCAATGAGAGAGAAAAATATAACATAAAAATCCACAAAACAAATAACACAATATAATTTTTTTTTTAAAGAAAAAAGAAGGAAAACAAAAACAAACAACAGAACCAAATATATCAATTTTCTACAAATAATTGAGATTTAATTCACTTACAATCTACCCTTCACTTTGACCTTGAGCTCGACCTTCTCCCCAAGGGCAAAGCTTGAACTGAGGAATTGGGTAGTCTCCTGCAACAGGCTTTCCAATGTGCTTGCACCTGTGATCAAAACAAAGATAAAATATAATAATTTGCTTGCTAATAAAAAGTGGAAGACACTAGACTTTATTCATGTGCATACTCACATTTCATCCAGGTCCTTATTTACATCCTAAAATTATTCATACCCCTTATACGTTTGATGTTTTGTGCATCTTGCAACTAATATCAAGTTGGACTTGAACTATGTCAGGCGATTGGAAAAAAACTTAGAACTTATGATCTTTTGAAAATGTTTTTTCCTTCAATAATAAACTATCAACATTTTTGAATTCTGTAGATTTGTAACATCCTCTGAGAGACCAAGGGTGAGAGCAACCAGTGGCATGAATGGCCTGCCATAGTGAAGTCCATCTTTAGAGTCGATCTTTGTCTTTGTGAAACACCCCCCTGTTGTGATCGATTGAAATCGAAGACAAAGACAGGGCCCAAAACCTTTACTTTATTACAACACCCAATATATAATAATAATTTTTTTCAAGCCATGAACTGAAAGCCTTCAGGCACTCAGCAGACTGTAACTTACTGTGATGAACATGCTGCAGAATGGGCTTCTCAAAATGGGTGGGGAAGCCTTGGAGACGCTGCCTGGCGCTGACCTCTGACCTCTGTGCCTCCTCAAAGGTCATGCCGGTCTGACCCGTGCACTGGCAGGTCCAGAGCGCCTGAGCATACACTTCAAGCTGGTTCTCATAGTCACTGGTGCACAGGGGGTTAAGGGAAACAATGAAATCTTGCCTGTTTGCCTATACTTTAACTGTACGAATCAGGGGGGAGGGGGGCAGGTTGAAGGGGTTGTATGGACATAAACAGAAATACATGTAAAACTTGAATGAAAAATACACAAATATATATATATTTTTTAATCAATGAATATTACAGCGATTATATAGTCTAGGCCCTAATTAATTATATAACAATTACTGGTACAGTTATTAAAGGGAGGCGTTACTACTTCAGCTAGAAGGGATTAGACCACCCAGTGAGCCATCGAGGTAACTGTGACAGGTGGCTATCTCATTAACTCAGCTCTCATTTAACATAAGAAAAAGAGGATCATGGGGGACCAACAGGCACCGATTTGGGAAGTTTTCTACATAGAGGGAGCAAGTAGCTACAAGTAGGACAGTGGGGCTTTAAGAATGAGGAATGATGAAGATACATGGATGGGGTACCAATTTCCTTTTTTACATGTAGACTATACAAATTTGTTTAATAAAATTAATTAATTCAGCCCAAATTGAAAATAGTCTATCATAGACTGAGTCTAGATCCAAGTCTGCAGATTTCTCACAAAACCAGACGCGATGATTCTGTATTTTTTAAAGTTTTAATGATGGAGTTTTACTCTCATAGGATCCGCACTCAACATAATGGCAATGCAAGACTCTTAATCTCAGAAATGCAAACAATAGAGAAATTCTGGGATATCTGAATTGTTGTTGTTGTTGTTGTTGTTGTTGTTTTTTTTTGAAGACCTCCATTCCAAGAATCCAAGCCAAATTTAATTAAATTAAGCCTGGCTGTGGCAAGGTGCTTGAACAAACTTTCTTCAAATTAGGAGACACTCTCTCCAATCTAGAGTCTAAATAATAATAACACTTAGAATTCTACTCAAAGTCAATTGACAATGTATTGTTGACAACGGTTTTCATCTCTCTCACTCAGGCCTCAACTCAAGCTCATCTCATTCTCAGCCCTCACCTAGGGCTTTCATCGAAAGGGTGCGTTGAGAGCGGAGTACCGTTTTAACACACCCTTTCGCTAAAAGCGGGGGGGGGGGGGGGGGGGGGGGGGGGCTTAAATTGGCAACTATTACCTTCTGTCCCAGATCCTCATTTTAAACGACTGATGCGAAAGACTAGTCGACGCACCCTTTCGAGAAAAGCCCCCCCCCCCCCCCCCCCCGCTTTTATCGAAAGGGTGTGTTAAAACGGTACTCCGCTCTCAACGCACCCTTTCGAGAAAAGCCCCCCCCCCTCTTTTATCGAATGGGTGCGTTGAGCACACCACACCGCGCCGCACCGCACCCTTTCGATGAAAGCCCTCACCGAGGCTCTGAGCCGAGTGAGTCACACACTGTCTCACTCTCAGTCTCAGTCTCAGCTCAGTCTCACTTTTTAAGTTTTAATCCGACATTCCACATAAATTTTAGCTCCTAGTAGGGTGTCTGAACGATTTTTCAATTTTCAATTTGGGATCGTTTTTCACCATTTTTGTTTGATATTTGAATTAAAAATGTAATCAGAATAATACATTTCAAATTTCAAGTCTCGCCGATGTTTCTATCAAAAGATACAGCCCCTTCAAAACGCTGAAATATTCATAGCATTTTGCTCAGAATCGACGAAAAAGACGTACACGCAGAGTTATGTTGTTTTGCTAAATTTAGCCAAACAGCTGTATCGCGCGATATGCAAGCGTATGCATATCGTACGCAAGTTGCTCAGCCAATGCGCGACTTGCAAGCTTGAGCTACGCTGTCTCCGCGACACGTGCCATTGACTAGTATGGTTAGCGTTCGTCGCACAAAAAACCCGGAAGTGAATGCACGTTATAGTCAATGGCAATATCGCGGAGATGTCTCCGCGATATTGCCATTGACTACAACGTGTATTCACTTCCGGGGTTTATAGTGGGAACGGCCATCCATACTTTCATTCACTATAAGCGCACATGTTACGCGATGTAACCATGGTTTGGACTGAGCGGAGCTCACGCCTCCCTAATTAGCTGATTCCAAAAATGTGGGAGGGTATTTTCAAACTGTTATAACAAATGATCCCTTGGGGCTAGCAAAAAAAAAGCATCTGGATATTATCCTTACGTCTAGCCCTGCTTAAGCCGCGGGGCGGCAGCTCAGGAAAGTGGCAAATTTTGGAGCTAGGATGCAAACAACATTTCAATCGCTATTTTGACCAAGATATTTTTAGAATTCTGGGGGTGGCCCCCGATGGGGAATATGGAGAAAAACCTGCTCTTTCATATGACACCTCATTTATTGAGTTTCACCTTCAGGATCATTTGTTATAAAGGTTTGAATTTCAAATTTTTTCATAAAATCATTGACCAATTTTGGATGGTCGCGCAATGCACGTAGACCACATAGGGAAGCGTACAATCTCTATGGGAAGGGTTTTAGCACACAACATTGGGTGCGCGATCAGACACCCTACTCCTAGAGTCTACAAGTCTTTCATAATCATTATTAACACAATCATAGTCTCTTCTTGAAAAATCTTATCTTATGTCTCCGCACAAGACACTTAAACAATCATAACTATCATTATTATCATCCATTCCGGAAACACAATACTGACACACACACAACAAAATTTTCCCATAGACATTACACAGGAGACCATGGGCGCAGCCATCTTGTTTTTGTCCGCAGAATTTCCGACCCAAATTTTGAAAGGATACATTTTGCTCGAGAACACTTCGTTGGTGAATGGAATGAGAAAATGAGGCTCTGCTAAGGTTACTGTCTTCGATAGCACCTTCGGAATGTAAAGCTTTTTCCCCAAAAGTGGCATTTTGGGGATCCTTCCGACACCGGTCGTACTCTCACAAAAGCGCTCGCTTTTAAAATCTGGCGCGAACGTCCCCGACGATGACCCGAGAATGACCCGTCCTTTCGGAGCTGCCAAATTTTGTCTATTGTCACAGGATTGTAGTGATCAAATTTTGTCTAGGTAATAAAAATGATAAAAATATAAATTAGTCCCGATTATACAAGTATAATAATATATTTAAGAAATTATTATTGATAATAATATTTGTTAAATTGTAAAAATATTTGTTTATGCCGTAAAATTGCAAACTAAATTTAGGTTTAGGGAACTATTATGCGGCAAGTTCAAAATATTACGCAATCCCTATTCGTAGTAAACACGCGAACGTACTACTTGCAGACACTACATGTATGACCGATCTACTGAAATTCATAAACAGACAACTTGTTTGACAGCCGAAAATGACTTTGTTGATATATGAAGTGATTGTATTCAGTGATTGAGCGACCATTGTGTTTCATGCATGGCCGCTGATTGAGCGCAAGTGCAGGAGGCCGATAAGCGGTGTCGTTGTTCGATCACGTCAAGTAAAAATTAAAATAAAATAATGGGCGTTCAGAACCTGTGGCAGATTCTTGCTCCCGTGAAATCTGAGGAATCCATTGAGAGTTTGAAAGGGAAGAAGATAGCAGTGGATCTAGCGATATGGCTGGTGGAGAGTCAAGTCACTGGGATGAAGATGATGCAAGGCAGAGTCAGTAAACCTCATTTAAGGTAAATTTCTAATGGAATTTGTTGACACTTGATTCATCAGAATTCAGATATTTATTTGACTGTATTTCAGTCAAACTGTTCATTTGTCAATCTTCCTTTGCAGACATATTCAGCTCAAAACTAGACTAGAGACGAGTCTAGACCTTCGTAGTCTAGTCTAGATCTATCAGTTATATAACCAAAAACATGTTAGTTACTTTAATCTGTTATTAACAGATGTTAATGAAACAGAGCTACTGCTGCATCAAAATTGTATCGTGATTCACATGATTCATGTCAGAGCTCTAGTAATGTATTTAGTTATCTATAAGCATGCTAAGCTAATTGAGTGTTTATTTGAAATGATCTAACTTAATTAGTTTGATGATTGTTACGTTTTTTCTTTCATCCCAGGGCCCATGCAGGGCCTACAGTACTCGGTAGTTCTTTTATTTTGACATTTTGTTTTGTTTTGTTCTAGACCTGTATGTAACTTCTAGCTTCATGCATCAAATAAAGTAATAGCACAAGTTGTCCTTTAATACTGTCCAACATAACTTTAGTTAATAGCCTCTCAATCAATGTATTTATCAGTTATGTATTTTGTATTAAGACATGTCTTGTGGCACTTGCAACAATATCAAAGTACTTGATTGTTTATGTTTTCCTATTGCTTAACCATGTCAGTAGTTTATAATGTTGCATTTCTATACTTTTAGTAGGAACTTCTTCTTTCACGGGTTTCCAACTTCCTTCAGCATAATTGAGCCGAGCGCATCTCATCTTTCGGAACTATTCATTTTAGTTTTTCACATTCATGTGTGAAGCCGAAGTTTACTGGACTGTACACAATCTTTTTTTCTATATTTTCAGAAATCTCTTCTTCCAGGTTTCCACCTTCCTTCCGCTAGGCCTAGGAGTAAAGCTGTTGTTGTTCATCAACAGCTTCAGTTTATGTGTTCTGAAAAGATGTTTTTAAAAGCTCTGTAGCAACCTGTGTTTGTGCTCAATTTTTTTTTTACTGCTAAATTTCTATTGTCATCAGAAGCCCCTCATACAAGGCTCTAAAAGGTTTCCTTTTTACTCTTTAAAATCTTAACCAGAGAGCCTTCGTGGAATCAAACTTGAATTTTAAAAATTGCTTCTGTTTTGGTTTGTAAAATTGCGTCTAGTTTATTCTGTACATGTAAATGTCTAGATCAAAGGACATGTACACTGTTTGTACTCTCTATTATTTTACTGTTACAGTTGTAGGAACCTATTCTTTCGAGCTTCAAACTTCATACAGCTTGGAGTTAAGCTGATGTTTTTCATCCACGCGGCCACCACATCTCAACTTTAGGAGCTTTTCATTTTACATCAAATTTTCATCTTCAAATTTTCATCTTCAAATCGTCAGAAATCTCTTCTTCCGGACATCCATTTTTCTACGGCTCGGAGTCAAGCTGGTGTTTGTCATCGATGGTACACCGCCAGAGCTGAAGTGGGAGGAGATCGCCAGAAGAAATGAAGTAAGGCTTGGAGGAGGAGGAGGAGGAGGAGCCAGAGGAGGACGGGGAGGATGGAGAGGAAGAGGAAGAGGTGGTGGAGGAGGAGGAGTAAGGAAGGCTTCAAGATCCCATTTTACCTGTTGGTTAAAAGAGGTAAACATGATGATGAAGTATAGAGGGGATGGACAATCAAAGTATTGGAAACAAAACTGTTGGTAATTGTTTCTTTTATCTTATGTTTGTCCTCAAAGCATTGTCCAAAGAGTCTCATATTATCGTCACCGTCAACCGTATTTGAAATTAAGTGTTTGTAAATGCTAAATTTAAAAAAAGTTGTCATCAAATATCTGCACTCTTAGGTTAGCCTATTGTCAAAATGTTTTAAAAATTGTATGAAATCTCCTATTTGTTTATTTGCAGGAGCTGTATTTGAATTTTAAAATGGAGGAGAGTGGGGCGGGGGTTCTTAATTGCACTCTGCTCTCAGTTATTATTTCACTGATTTAGGTGTAATATTTCAAGTTTGGGGTTATTTCTTGTTTTGTTTCCAGTGTCAAGAATTATTGGAACTGATGGGAGTGCCGTGCATCCAGAGCAAGGGAGAAGCAGAAGCTATGTGTGCTGCACTGAACAGTGCTGGGGTTAGTTTACGCAGTCATATCTCACTAGAAGTTGATTTACTATAATTTCGCTATTTCCCAGTGTTATCTCTTTAATTTGCCTTCTGTTTGTGTCTGTCTGCATGGCTCTCTCTCTCCTGCCCACCTCCCCCTCTCTCTCTCCCCCCTCCCTCTTTCTCTCGCTCTCTCTCTCTCTCTCTCCATCCCTTCTCTTTTTCTCTATTGATCTTTCTTTCCTTCTCTCTCCTCCTCCTCCTCATCCTCTCTCTCTCTCCTCTTTTCCTGCAATTTATTTAAAGTTGTTAGCGTTCCTCTTTATGTCTTTTTCTCATACATACTGTAACTCTTCAGGTATTGATCTGTGAAACAATACAAGATAGCACCCCCCCCCCCCCCCCCCCCCTCTGCCCCTTCCTCCAAATTGCATATCTCACTTATTGTGTTCTGAACATTTTAGTGTTGATGATAAACATTTTCATTTGTATTAAATACAACCAAAAATAACACTGAAGAGATAGCAAAATAGTACAATACCTAATTAATTTATATTTGCATCGTGATATTTTTAGTTTTACTGCTCTTCCTCCAGATTGTAGATGGTTGTATGACTGAGGACGGGGATGCCTTTCTCTACGGGGCTCGCATCGTTTATAGAAACCTCAATATGGCCACAGGAAAGGTATGGTGTATTACAGTCGAACCTGCTTTAGTGACCACCTGTATAGTAAGACCACCTGTCTACAAAGACCACCTGTATAGAAAGACCACATTTTTAGTTTCCCTTTAAAATGGTTTCTCATTGAAACATGTACTAAAGGAACCTGGGCTGCGACTCACGAAACCATCATAAGTACAAGTTGAGCGACATCCCATTGAAACGTGTGTATTAAGTTTAACACGCATTTCAATGGGATGTCACTGAACTTGTACTTATGACGGTTTCATGAGACGCAGCCCTGTACACAAAGACCACTTTTCTTGTCTCCCTTGGGTGGTCTTTATAGACAGGTTTCACTGTACCTTCATTATGTACAGTATGTCATACGGGATGAACATTATGAATATAAATACGTTCAATCAATGTACGTGTTTAGTTATAAATTCTATTGATAACTTTTACAATTAAGACATATTAGGATGTATGATTTCTTGCACATGCTTTCACAAATTTAGGTACTTATAAATCATGACGATAAATAACGGCAAACAAGTTTGTACATAATACTGGTTTCTTATATAGAACTTATACCTACAGTATAACTATTACCCAGGAGTGGTCACTGAAATCAATTACTATACTGCACATTCTGGTACACATTCTCCACTCCCTGGGGAGCATTCCAGCTAGTCACCTTTGTTTGGGGCGCACATGCTAATCCAACCTCAGTGACGATCACATACTACCAAATTAACACCTGGGTGGAGAGGAGCAACATAGATGAAATGCCTTGCTCAAGGACGTAAATGCAGTACCTGGGCTCGAACCCACGACCTTTGCATTTCCAGTCAAGTGACTAAACCACAAGACTACGACACCTCTACATAGATGGCTGCACTTGGATGAAAATATTTGGAAAAGGAAGGAAAAAAATATCTAGGTCAAACTATCCTATGAAAGCATTTCAGAAGCGATCATGAATATTAAATATTACAATAATACATATATGTACTTTGTATGTCTGTTTAATTTCTGCCCTAATTGACCTGGGGGGTGTTTCACAAAGATCCTAAGTCAAAGTTAACTCTAAGTTGGACTTGAACACTATGGAGTGCCATTTGTAGCCTTAAATTAAAATATATTAAAAAGCAAATAATTCAAGTATTTTAAACTTTATATAAATTCCACATCAAGAACATGAATTCTCCTTGATAATAAGAAAATATGAATGTTTTGAATCAACATGTTATGCCATTTTAAAGAACTTTTACAAAATATTTTCATATATGCTAATGGCTTTCCAAAATTGTTAATTCCAATTAATACAGTAGCAACTTTGTAAAAGTTATTTTAAAAAGCATTTAATGTTGATTCAAATCATTCTTATTTTCTATTATCAAGGAGATTTCATGTTCTTGACGTGGAATATAAGAAAAGTCTAAAATACTTCAATTTTTGCTTTTGGAAATATTTAATTTTAAGGCTACGAATGGCTCTCCATAATTTTTAAGTCCAACGAACAGAGATAAGTTCAACTTTATCTTATTGAAACACCCCCCTGTACAATCAATTCTCTCTTTGATTACAGGTGGACTGTTACCGTATGGATGATATAGAGACCAAGCTGGACTTGGATCGCAGACGGCTCGTAGCGCTCGCCATCCTCCTAGGGTGTGACTATCTTCCCAAAGGAGTGCCGGGTAAGACATAGAGGCTTCGGTTGGATCAGAAGGTGCGATCTTGCATTTAATCTCTCTACCCCCTTTCGTACCTGCACCCTCTCACCCTCTTTTTTCCCCTGACTCGCTCTTTCTCTCCTCTCTCTCTCTTTCATTCTCTTTTTCATTATCATATTTCCTACCGGTATTGCCTTTTTCTCTATATCCCTCTATTTCTTTTACAATTTCCCCCTTCTTCTTCGTCTGTTGCTACATGTATTTTTTCTCTTCTCTTGTAATTTGTTTCCAATCTCTCTCTCTACCTCTTAATGTCTCTTATTCTCTCACTCTCTGTCTTCTCTCGTCCTATTTCTTAAGTTCTTTTACTTTATGCTATTTCTCAGGATTGGTCCTCTAACAAGTTACTTTTACGTGAAATTCTTTAAATGGTACGTTAAGCTCCTTAGAACTATAAGCTAAGAAAGATAGCCAACAGTCTTTTTCAAGACTACACAAACAGTCCTTTTCAGGACTACACACCCTCAAGAAAGATAACCAAGAGTCCTTTTCAGGACTCCCCAATCCTCCCTCTCACATGGTGCACCCGCAAGCCTACTGTATCAAATATTTCTTGTTAGTCACTCTTTTTATTTTCAGGGGCTGGAAAGGAGGGTGCCATGCGGGGTTTGTATGTACCTTGTGCCCTTACACTGCTTAGTCTGCTGTCAAAGACCCTACCAGATATTTTAATCAACAAACTAGAGAAACGCCAAGGTGGTTTCAGAAGTCGACTCTTTTTTCAGTATATAAACGTAATAATGACTGCTTTAATTTTCGAGACATAGTTGTTTTTATACGCTCTGGAAACTTATATAGCAAAATATTTTCTGTTGTCATTCTCTTTATTTTCAGGGGTTGGGAAGGAGGTTGCCATGAGGTTCATGAAGTCTCTCCCAAGCTCTGTTGACCCCCTCAACCTATTCCAGGACTGGAGAGGAGGTTGTGATTCAACTTGTTTAACAAATGAGGAACGAGATGTCAGGAAGTAAGGATAAAATGTTATTCTCTGGTGTTGGGGTAATACAGTCAATCCTGTCTTTAGCGACCGCCCACGGGGAAACACAAACAGTTGTCTTTGTAGACAGGTTTTCAAGGGAAACAAAAAATGTGCTCTTTGTAGACAGGTGGTCACTGAAGCAGTTTTGACTGTACATGCCATTGATGATATTTCGCCAAAACAAAAACTACTGTGTAGTTGGGTTTTTACAGACGTGTATCAATTAATATATGATTATTTATGTATCGGGACCAACCTTTAACATCACCATCTGAAAGACGTGACTCGGTTTCAAACCTGCGTCTTTGGCTGAATCAGTTTGTAACTTCCATTGTTAGCCCGAGTCACATTATGACATAGTCTTATCTCTACCTTTGTAATTATGCCCTGATGCTAAAAGAAAAGTTTTCCTCTTGATCTCAGTTCTTAGCTATAATCCTGAGAGTACTTTTTGGACACTATCTGTTTAAAGTGACCAGGTTACATTGCCTCAAATTCTGAAACAAAATCCTGGATTTAGCTCGTGCTGCAATCATAATTATGAACCTTTAGGTCGGTCAGGAATCCCATGACTTTTACAAGCCTGTCTGATTATCAAGATATTTGTGATTGGAAATCAAACTCATTTTTTTCATTTTTTTAACAGTTTTTATAACACTACATTCTATTGGGGAAAATGAGTATGGTAAACCCGGTCACTCAAAGATTTTTACTTTTCTGAGGCACTTCTTGATCACTTTGAAGTGCAATTTTTTTAGTGCTTCAATATTACACCATATCACAGACATTGACAACACGGGGTCATGCATCAGATTTAACATTGTTAAACGATGCCTTTAATGTATGAGTAACTCTCTAATCCAATGTTTGTTGTCGCCTGAACAGGAAATCTGTGAGAGTTGAAGGGTTTCCGAACCAGAATGTGATCAAGGAGTTCCTTCAGAATAAGGAGACACCGCCTACTCATCACAGTGAATGGAGAAGACCCCTCCTGCTTCACCTTCAGGTACGGTCAAAATGTAGCCTCTTATGCCTCGGTCACACCTTTGCGTATTTGGCTTGCGTATTGCTGTGTATTTATGGCAAGCCGTTTTAACATTAATTCCTATTTCTCGATATCAAGAAATGATTTTCTGTTGTAAAGCAATAGTAATTCTTGATATCAAGAAATAGGAATAAAGGTTAAACGGCTTGCCATAAATAGGCAGCAATACGCAAGCCAAAAACGGAAAGGTATGACTGAGGCATTAGAGGTTAGCTTAAGCTTCCTATGTGAAGTTTCAATTGTTGTAAAGAACAGTTTGGCCTGCACCCTGTCGATAAAGATCTTGTTTTTGATCTTTAGATTAATCATTGATATTTATTTATGTTCCATCCTGAACAGCAATTCAACCTGGTCAAAATGGAATGGCCCATCGAGTACACGCAGGAGAAGGTCGTTCCTTTGATGACCTTGTATGACCTCACCCATATGAACTCTGACCGTAAAGGTCGCCTAACTCCCGCTACAGTCGTAAAACTCCGTGTTCGACAAGGTGTACCGTGTGCGGAGGTCAAATGGCATAAGCCTGGTGAGTTGAAAATAATTTTTTTTTAATATCTAAATTTGTTTTTATTCTTCACAATCAGTGCTTGCTGTGGTGCAGGCTTCTTCAGACCTTTAAAGCCTGTCTGTAATAGTTTGGCCAGGAGGGATGAGACCACCCAGTGTGGTCACTGACAGGTGGTTATCTCATCAACTCGGCTCTCAATTAACACAAGAAAAAGAGGATCGTGGGGGACCAACGAGCACTGCTTAGGAATTGTTTTCTATATAGAGGGAGCAAGTAGTTACAAGTAATACAGAGGGGCTTTAACAATTGTATCTTTTGGGGGAAATTCTGGTTAATACGACAGAATGATCATATCGCCCGTAGGTATATCCCTTGATTTTGTGTCACATTTATCAATGGATTTACAGCAGAGTTGGAATTTAACTTGAATTTCATATTTTTGAATACTAACAGAAGAAGACAAGGAAAATGATGAGGACTGTGAGCCTTTCTATACGACGGTGGAGGAGAGAGAACTCTTCACATCGGCCTACCCTGATGTGATGGAACAGTTTATGGTTGCCATGGATATGAAGAAAGCCAAAGGTGAGATCAATTTCCAAAGTGTAACTTTTTCTTTTTGTTTTTCATGTTTTTATCTTTTTTTTATGGTAAAGCATCATCATTATGCGGAAAAATAGACTTATTCTTTTCATTGTTTGAAGTTATTGTTAGACATTCTGAAAGGTTTTAACTAAGTAAAGATTGGTAGTATTGAAGAAAAATTGAGCAACTCCAAATCCAATACATGGAAATTATCCTTGGGGCTTTTCAACAAAAAATTGAGATCGAAATTCTTTAAAGGAATGGAATTTCTAGATATGAGATGCTGATCATCCCCATTGCATGTATTAATATTAAAACTTAATTACAACATACAACTTCTCCTGGTTGTGAATTTGTTTTAGATGTAACCATGATTTATTTGTTCATGTATCTTTTTCTGTGTTTGCTAAGGACGAGGGAAGAAGAAAAAGGAGACGTCTTCCTCTACGCAGCAGGAAGGATCGACGGTGGATGATCATCGTGTTGTCATGGATACCGCATCCGAGCATCCGTGTGATGATTTTCATGAACCTTTCACCCTTGACCAGGAAAATCCTCTCAAGGTCGACCATACACCATCACAAGCAGAAAGTTGTCATGGAAACAAGATAGGGAGTAGAGAACTTGAATCATCACATGGAACAGATGGTGATCGTGCTGGAAGACGCAGAGCTCCGTCTCAAGGAGTAACACGTCATGGTGATGCCGATGAGGAGGACATGCTGAGGAAGTTGATAAACCTCTCTCTGCATGATGGAAGATTAGAGATGATCTTAAAAGGAGGCGGAGGAGGAGGAATAGAAAGAGGGGGAGGAGGAGCAAGAGTAGAACTAAGAAGAGGAGAAGGAGGAAGATGTTCTGGAAAAACAGCAGATGGAGTGCAAGAAGATGAAACAAGACTAAAGAGGATACCAATTAGGGACAAGAAAGCTAAACCAGGAAAAAAATGCTTGAGTGGAAAAGATTTGAATTCGGGAAAAGAATGTTCAAGAGGAATTACTCATGAAGGAATGTCATCCTTGAAAAGCAAATCTCTGCCAGTAGGTCTGGGAACTAAAGAAAGGACAATGACCAAGGATAATGTTCTTGTAACTAAAGTAACTGAAGACATTGACACTGAAGGAAAAGAAAAGGAGAGGGATGGGGAGGAAGAAGGAGAATCTTTTATAGAGGTTTTACCGTTATCCCAAAGACTTGGTTGTCATTCGTTGCGTGGATTCATCCCCAACTCTAGGAGAATCGGAAATCAAAATTCATCATGTGCCACATCAAATGCTGCAAAAAGAATTGATCACTTGTCAGATGATGAATCAGATCCAGAAATGCAAAGTACAATACCACAATTGTGCCATGAGGAGTCGCAGGACACCAGTCAAGGAGATATAAGGTCTCTCGAATTCACTCTTGCAGACAATGCTAAAGTGGTGGGAAGGAAAACACATTCAAGAGAAACCGTTGCTGGATCAGAACGACCCACTTTGCCCACTGCTGGTGAATGCTGTAAAGGAAGTTCTCCAGAAAACATCATGGATCAAGGAAAATCCATGGCAACAGAAGCTTCAGAAATCAATGCCAAACGATACATCTCACACCCAAAGGACAGGCTCAAATCGACTCCAGATCTAAAGCGTAACCAGGACATCAAAGTCAGTAAGATGCACACCCCTTGCCACAAATCAACTTCTCCAGCAACATGTGAGGTCATAGATCTAACTGAAGACAGTCCCTTAAAGGATCAACCCATGTCAGCCCACTCAGCTGTACATTCTGTAGAGGAAGTGGAAGAAACCGACCATCAGTCACCCAATGCAAGGGCCCTAGGTGTTCAGTCCAGGAGCTTGTCTGAAAAGGAAGGTGACAATAACAGTACCTACTTTGATGAAGACATCCCTTACTTCCAAGAAAAGCCTGTTCATGAGAGACTACTCCAAATATCAGTTAGTAATGGAAACTCAACTTATAATGCCAAGAAGAATGAATCAACATTCATGAAGTTGGACAATAGTTTGGCAAAGTTCATGAACGAACTGAGCCTGGTTTCAAATTCGTCATCACTAGCTGCCAGCTTTGAGGAAATTGATGATTCTGTGTTCATCGTTGAGGATGAGGAACCTTGTTTAGATGATGATAAACAAGAGAGAACCCATTTGGAGAAAAATAATGAAGAGAAAAAGATGGAATTCGTCAATGTGTGTCAAGGGACTGTACGGAACGTTTCTGGCAAAGTTCAAGAAAGCTATTCGTCGTCAGAGGTCAGCCTTGGGGTTCCTGAAGGAATCTGTGTGGTTCCAGAGAAAGAGGTGGATACAAAGATCACAGAGAGTGAGCTGCCAGTTCAAGGAGAGGTACAGGAAAGTACAGACCTTCGCAGCAGAGAAACTAACAATTTCCATGTGGTCTCAGACTCCAAGACGTCTGGTAATCTGGATTCTTTAGCGGTAACTGAGCAAGCCTGTTCGGGCAAATCGGAAGGTGGGGAGCTGTTAATGAAACAGACAAAGAACAATAGTGGAGAGATTCTAGATCAAATGATATCTGGTTCTCTTGATTCTTCTGAAGCTGCAGTGCAGGAAACCTGTGAACCACAACAAGACAAAGGAGTGGTTGCTCATCCAAGCATCTCCTGTGATGTAATGGGGAACATGTCCCCTTCTGTACATGTAGAAACGAAGAGAACAAAATCTAGGAAAGGGAGAATAGGCAAGACAAAGAAAATGCATAAGTTACATGATAGTGTTCTAATTGAAAATGGTTTGATGAAGATCCTTCAGATGATGAGTCCAGTGACTTGTCTCTCCCGTTCTGGACGTCGACGAGAAACCAGTCAATTGTCAGAGGTAGCTCAGGCAAGCGAAGATCCTTGTTCACAAACATCATGTTTAGCTTCCCAAAACGGAAGACCATGTCCAGAATTAGCCATTCTTTCACCATCTTTATCATCATCATCAGCAACAGCATCATCATCATTTACTACATCTGGATCTACATCTATAGTCACCCCAAACTTGCCAGGGCCAGATGTTACTACCACTTCAGGACAGACTCCTTTGTCCATTCCAGAAGAGCCACTGGCCATTCTTGCCAATTCTGCCACAGGAGCACATACTGTGTCTCCTTGTACCAAGTCATCTCATTTACTCAGAGGACAACTCCTGTCAATGTTGAGCCAACTAACTCCTGGTGATTCCCCTATGATGGGTGCCAAAGTACTACAGAAGCCTCCAAAATTTAGGCCACCCTGCGTTGGACGCCATGGATTCAGTAGTAAAGCTAAGCAACGAATCCATTCCGAATCTGTCCAAGATGGTCCTAAATGTACTCCTTACAGTGATATCCTCAGGGAATCAACTCAGACCATTACTGATCAAATAATTGGTGTTTGTGAATCTACTTCAGTTAAGTCAAACACGTCTTTGGAAGGAACAAACTCTCCACCCAAAGTTTGCATAGGAGATTCAAGTTCTTCAATCCAAGAGTCCCGTTCGATAAGGACCAGAGCTGTTTCTACGACAGTCGATGAGCCCAGGCCCAAGCCAAAACCAAGAAGTCTTTCCCAGCCATCTAGAACGGTTCTTAGTGTAAATGCCAAGAGAAACAGATCAAAACACAAGAGCTGTTCTCAGCCTGTGGGGTCACGGAATAGGTCAAGATCGAAGACGTCTCTGAAGGGTTTCCAGAGACGAGAATCTATGGTAGCAATGGAATGCAATCTGGCCAAGATCCTGGAAGGCCTGAGCCCTGTATGAATTAATCATGCATGTGTTTCTTACTCTTAAAGATAAAGTTGAGTTCTGGTCATGCGACTGCGTTGTGGAATCGATCAGAAAAGGTTGATCATCTAGCATATATGTACTGCAAGGTTCTGGAATCATTAAAATGATAAGAAATGTGGCCCAGTCTTGGTAAAGTTACAAGCACTGTACACAGAAAGATGTATATGGGACTACACGACATGTGGCATAAAAATCTGTTCCAATTTTTATGATGTTACATGCCATATTTTGAATGTTACACCATTTGAAGAGCTATGCTTAACATGGAATATTTTTTATCTGATGTACTTCCACACTTGCATAATACAATGCCAACGCTCACAAATTATTTGTATCCTCTTCCCTGAACTCAACCTTCTCTTTAATGGAAGAAATATGCTGTTTTACATATTTATATCTCTTACTTTTTTAATAATTTTTTACCTACCGGTATTTAATTACAGGTAATAACTTAATTATTTGTACCCCTAGTAAATATTGTGTTTTTTATAATTCTAAACTGAAAGGTGGACTGGTAGAATTAGGGCCATTGTTGAATAAATGTCACATGCATTCCCAAGGGGCATAAATCAGACAAATCAATTTTCAAATACTGAAACATGACAAAATTTGGTAAGGGTATGAATAATTTAGTTGTTAGCTGAATATGCTAGCACATCAATGAAATCACATGACTGTATGATTATGAACAATTAATTTAATATATTCTAAGGAATTGTATTATATGTATTAATATCGTTGACTCGCCTGAAGATAGTAATTGATGGCTTATAAATTGTAATTCGTTTGACCATGGAAAAGCATACATGTATATGGGATCATTTATGTCTTTATATGTATGTTTATGTTATGCAGGGCCTCCAGGTATAACAGTATTTTAACTACTGATGGGGCTACATAAATAAATAAATTTGACAGATTAGTCAAGCACACTTATTTTGAAGAAGAAAATCCCAAATTGTCAAGGCATAAAGAGAGCCTAACGTCTTTCTGTAATCAAACTAGGATACGTATGCATTATGTATTGCATTTTGTAATACATTGTGTCGTCGTAATTCATGGTGTATTCCTCTTTAAAATGTTAAATATCATGTACATGTATTCCTTACAGGTTAGGTTCAAGGATTCAACTCAACATAAATGTTTTCAAAAGATCATTCTGGTACATGAATCAAATCATTTGATGATTACTATTATCTATGCTTAAATTGTTATTAGACCAAATGGATATTAGACAAAATGGGCATTAGACAAATTGGGAATTAGACCAAATGGGTAGTAGACTTATTGAAGATTAGACCAAACGGATATTAGCCTAAATGGTCATTAGACTAAATGATAATAATAATAATAATAATATTGAATTTTTAGATAGCGCTTAATACAAATGTATCTAAGTGCTTTACAAATATACTAATACCCCGGTCATTGGATTCAGTACTGCCTGCACACATTGTGTGCACAACGCCACTGGGGAGCATTCCAGCCAGGCGTTACTGGACGCTCAAAAACTGACCAACAATGACGGCCGCATCCTACCGGGTAACCCATTTGACACCTGGGTGGAGTGGACAGAATGATTATCAGACCGTGTGGATAGTAGATGGGCTTGGTGAATACCATATGAGAATAGACGACCTGGGGTGCGTTTCACAAAACTTGTCATTATAGTAACAAATGACAATGTTTGTTATAAGCTACTGAAATCCTTGCTTCTGGTTGGTTGTCAGCAGATTTGTCACTGATTTTTGTCATTTGTCATTGAAAAAAGGCTTTATGAAACGGGCCCCTGGTGCTAGACCACATGGCTGTACATATTTATCGAGATATGAACCTTTTTTTACTTGTGGATGATAGTACAATGTTTTTATGATATAATGTTTCATGATGAATTGTTATGTTTTTATAAAGAATCAGAGATAATCAGGTAACAAACCCATACTTATTCGTAGCTTTTATTGGCATCTCAAGTACACCATGTATGTTTGTTTGTTTTATTTATTCACCATGTAAAATAGCTGTTTACAGATAATAAAATACAGTGGGTAACATTGAAATATAATACAAAGTAGGAACAGTGCATAAACAAAAAATGTTTGAAGCGCAACGTTCCTAAGATAAAATAGTTGATACTTATTAGGTAAAGATGGAACATATATGGCTTAGAATAAAACATTCTGTCGTTACAAAATAAAAATAAAAATAAAAAAATCATGCTCCTTAACGTATTTGAATAACAAGCAAAAGCAAGTAAATACACAATACCTCTTTTGAGAGAAATAATATGTGGATTTAGATCAAGATGGAAGTTTCAAATAGCAAAACTCTGAAAAATTGAATATAATTTTTAAAAAACCCAAAAATACATATGATATGCAGAACACAATCAAATAACCAAATGTATATGAGTTGAAATAAAATATAAAATAGGATTAGTATTACTATTTTGTTCTTCAGTTTGTATAACATGCTACTCTACTTGAATAAGCTTTATGTAAAACTGTTGACAAGACGATATATCTTTATCAATCAATGGTCTTAAATAATAAATAAATATAGCAATTTTAAAAAAAGTAGTAATGATGTCGTCTTTTATTTAAGTATGTGGAGTTGTGTGTACAAAAATAGCAATGGTTGAATCTTGATAGGTAGCCTCGATCCTCTGAAAGGAGCCTTTTAATGCCTCGGTCACACTTTTGCGTATTTGGCTTGCGTATTTATGCCAAGCCGTTTTAACATTTATTCCTATTTCTTGATATCAAGAAATAATTTCCTGTTGCAGACCGAATTGTGAAATACACGGAGACGGAATACTGGATATGTAATCATTATTCATTATGCACAAGCAGAACACTCCATGATACACAGGTGGAAGTATTTTTTGAAGAGGGGAAACAAAGGCTAAGTATGTAGCATCTCCATCGCTGTAGGATTGATTATTTCAAAATGTACAAAGTGGGACCTCTTCATGTTTTGAAGATCTGTGGATATTCGGGGTTATTGCAGCCATGTGCTAACCGTGAACTTGTCTATTCTTGATATCAAGAAATGGGAATAAATGTTAAAACGGCTTGCCATGAATACGCAGCAATACACAATACACGCAAATGTGTGACTATGATTGGTAAACGGCCGCAGAAAAGGGCAAAAAGAAAAGGAAAACCATTTAAGAAAGTTGTAAACGGCATCTGCATGCAAAAAAGGTGTTATGCATTTGACCAAGCCTGTGTTATAAGATGCAGAAAAGTAAAACGTACATGTATTCATTTTACTTCATTAAACAAAACACTATAGCAGTTTACCGCTGCATATCTCAACAAGGCGTTATGGTTAACTTAGTTTGAATAGCTCAATTTCTCTTTTAGATTAACTGTTTTCGAAAAATGTGAAATATACTTAATTATATTTTCAAAAAAAATTCTCTAAACATTAATTAACTTCGGAATAAGGCTGATATTTTTACATGTACAGAAAGCACTCCTATACAATCAGAAAATCTAATTAATTAATTAACTAAATAGCACACATCTGTCCATATTTTGATATGGATGGCCTTGAATGACACAATGTCCATATCAGATACATATATGATATTAAAAAGTCGTGATGAAGAAAATGATATTTGACATGCCTCATTTTTAATGAAAAAAATTAACGCACAATGATCTCTTCATATTTCGTGATTAATAGCCTTAGGTCACACAATTTCCAAGTCAGACACATAAATAATATTGAAAAGTCGTGATGAAAAAAAAAAGAAAAGAAAAAGACAATATTTGACATACAGATTAACGCACAACTCTCCATATTTTGTAATTAATGGCCTTAGGTCACAATCTCCGCGTAAGACACATATATAATATTGAAAAGTCGTGATGAAAAAAAGACAATATTTGAGATGCCTTCATTATTAATGAACAGCCTACGCACAACTCTACATATTTTGTAATGAATGCCCTCAGGTGACACAATTTCATAGTAAGAAACAGTTATAATATTGAAAAGTCGTGATGAAAAAAAGAAAATAAAATTATAATATTTGACATGCCGTCATTATTAATGAACAGATTACCGCACAACTCTACATATTTTGTAATGCATGCCCTTAGGTGACACAATCTCCTATTCAGATACAATGTACCTGTACTTTTTGTTTTAGATGTTGTTTTGGACTCACTATCTCTCTCTATAAAGCTCGACTATAACTACAGATTTCGTTATCGTAAAAAGCGGGGAGAGGAAACAACTAAACTTAGAGCATTCATGACGTCATTTTGTGATATTTAATATTGAAAAAATGGAAAGAAAAAAAGAAAAGAAAAGAAATGCATGTAAATAGAAGCGCATAAAAAAGTTTACTCCTAGAAAATTGCTAATAATTTTTAAAATCATCTATGCACTCTCGCAAACAATGCCTCCTGTTCATCCAAGCGTGAAGACATACTCTTTTAAAAAAGAGAGTGAATTTTCACTCTATTTTCACTTTCTTGGGAGTGACGTCCGTGATCACTTGTTTAGGAGTGAAAATCGATTGATTTTAGAGTGCTCTCTAAGAAGAAAAGAGTGAATGTTCACTCTATTTTCACTACATTTTCACTCTCCAGAGGAGTGACGTCCGTGATCACTCGATTTTTTTTTAGAGAGTACCACACAAAAATGATACCAAATGATTTGGGATAAAACGCTCTCCCATATTAAAGATGTATAATAATTAACTGTTCATAGGTGATTTTTAAAATAATTAGCTTTTTTTTATACTCACACTGTATAGTCTAACCTTGGTAATATTTAAACAAAGTATATTTGAACAGATACCCCGTGGTGAGCACAGGTGGTGTTCATTCTTAATGAGTCTTCTTTTGCCCATATTCGCCCTTGGTACATAGGCGACACAAAAGATATATAGATTTGTACCCATGTAACCCATGTCACTTAGAACAAGGATGTTCAACCGATGCATTCTAACAACTATGAAATATGGATCAGAAGCATGACAAAGGATCTAGAACAGAAGCTTGTGACTACTCAACGAGCTATGGAGAGAAAGATGTCACATCTATCTCTGCGAGACAAAATCAAGCACAAAT